TCCCAGCCCATTTCTTGACTTCGGACTTTATGTTAGAGTTGGGCTCTTTTTAGCTCCAAGGGAGGTGGGGGAGGTGACTGGCCTAAGCTTCAGGCTTTTATGTCCTTTTGTTTTCACAGCTAGGTCTATGTCTTATAAATACTCTGTGCTTCCAAGGTTGTGTGATCCAGGGAGAGTTCTAGTTACTGCCCTACTGGTCTGTGCTCTGGTTATTTCACAGATGGGGCCCCTGCTTCCTAGCCTCAACTTCTCTCTGCCCTGGGACTGTGACCCATACCTAGGTAGGGTCCTTGCTCCCTTGTGAGCACAGGAATGCCTCTCTACCTGAAAGTGCCACCTAGAACTCGGTGACGGGTACTGGAATTGCCAGATGGTGTCTGGTCCTGTGCTAGGGCTAGCACAGAGTTCCCCTGTGATATCTTTCTGACCAGGTATTCAATCTCCTGGGTGCTGAGTGCTCCTGCCACCACTGCTTCCACAACCCACCACTGGTACTGCTTTGATGGCCCCAACCAGATGCTCATTGACTGTAAGCTGCATTGAGCTGGAAAAATGACTCACTGCCAATGTTTGCCGGTCATCCCTCTTAGCATCTGATTTGATGCACTTCTTAAAATCGCTTAAAGAGGAATGTGGGGAGAGCTCAGTGAAAACGTTCACTTTATTCTGCCATCTTGGCTCTGCCCCCTCCATCTCTTAACTCACAAGGGTCAAATTCAGGCCCTTGCCTGGACTATTTTAATAGCCCCCTAACTGCTATTTCTATTTCATCTGTCTCCAATTCATTGTGCACAAAGCTGATGAAGTAATCTTTCATAGGTGCAGGTCTGACTCTACTGTTCCCCTACTGACAAATCTTTGTTTCCATTTTACTTCTAGGAGAAAACATAAATTTTACTTCTAGGAGAAAACATACAATTTTAGGCCTTCCCTGATATGGTCCCTGCTTACCTCTCCAACATGCAATTCAATAAACATTGATTAAGCATGTGTTATGGGCCAGGCATTGTGCTGAGGGCTGAGGGCTGTCCTAAAGGAGCTTACAATCTAATGGGGGAATGTGACACAGTTGGAAAGGGGGGTGCCAACAGAGAAAACCTGGCAAGGGGGCGTCACTGTGCTACCTGAACCCATCAGAGCTGCAGAGAGAAAATGGAAAGTTTGTTGGAGTCTAGATCCAGCCCCTATAACAAAAAATGTTGGGAAGAGTTCAGTGCTCCTCTTTCCCACCCTCCAGTCAGAGGAGAGAGGAGGCTGAGGAGCTGGTAGGGTGTGAGTAGATAAAGTTGAGTTCAATGACACAACGATGACATTTCAGGCAATCGAGTCCCTGAACGGAGGGTCATGTTCTGTTCCTCAGAGTTCAGAGCAGCAGAGCTGCTGTGCATTCATTATTGCAGGCAGTGTTCCTCACATACGACATGCCACCTCTGATATGAGTTACAAGTGGACCATGTATTGTGCAATTCTCTGGCATAGCCAAAAAAATGTTCTACAACTTTTGGCCCCAAGGGGACAATGTGGCCACAGACAGGTGTGCAATTTTCACAGCCATGGTCATTGCCCAAGTGGAGTGTGGCTCACTACTCCATAGCCTTACAAATAGACAGAAAGGACAAAGCAAAGCTTTTCCCTCCTTTGCTGCTCTGAACCCAGCCACCTCCGTGAATAACAGTGGAACCGTCAGAACCAGGAAGGACACAACAGACTTGTTTAGCATAAACAGATGGTCATAGATGTCTTCTACTCTGGAAAGGCTGAAATTTGGGGAAAACTGACCAAGACGTATGAGGTAACTCCAGATGTCATTTTGTCTTTGGATTCAGAACTCATTTTGGTAGTGGTAAAATAACAGGTTTGGCATGATTTATGAGCCTCTTCACTACACAAAAAAAGGAAACTCCAAAGCATAGACCTGCAAGGCCTGGCCCCTATCAGCAGAAAAAGGTATTAAGAAATAAGTGAAAGGAACAGAGCAGAACTGTCTACTGGCCGCTTCCCTGCTGTCTACAAACATGTCCGTGTCTCCCCATCTGTACAAAAAAACCCCTTCACTTGGTCCTTCCATTCCCACTGTCATCCCTTGTCTCTTCTGCCTTTTGTGGTTACGTTCCTCAAAAAAACCCCAAAAGCCATCTGGAATGGGCCCCTGCATGTTTCCTTCTCTCATCTTCTCAGCTCCTTACAGTCTGGCCTCTGCCCTCAGCATTCACCAAAAGCCCTCTCTCCAAAGTCACCAGTAGTGTCCTAATCGTCAGATCCAGTGGTCCTTGCTTGGCCCTCCTCAGCCTGACGCCGCTGTCCAACCTCTTTATTCTCTTCTCCAGGTTCTCAGGACACGACTCTCTCTGCGCCTCCTACCTGACTCCTCCGTCATCCTTCTTTGCTGGATCTTCACCCAGGTCATGCCCACTAATATAGGTATCCCCTAGGGCTCTGTCCTGGGCCCTCTTCTGTTCTCCCTCAGTACTACTTTGCTTGGTGTTCTCATCAGCTCCCAAGAATTCAATTATCTTTATGCAGATGATCCTCAAATCTACTTATCCAGCCCCAACCTCTCTCCTGCCTTATGGTGTCACACCTCCAAATGCCTGCGACACCTCAGACTAGATTTCATACCCACTGTGAACTCTACATGGCCACCACAGATTATCTCCCTTTCCAAACTTCCCTATTGCTGTTGTAAGCACTACTGTTCTCCCAGTGCCCTGGCTCACAACCTAGGTGTGCTTCTCAACTTCTCACTCTCAGTTCCCCATATCCAATCTGTTCCAATCTGTCAATTTCACCTTCATAATGTCTTCCGAGAACGTCCCATTCTCTCCTCCGACACACTTTGCTGTAGGCCCTCATTTTCCTAATGCCTGGACTGTTGCAATAGCCTGCTGGTGAGTCTGCCTGCCTCAAGGTCCTCCCCAGTCCAGCCCATCCTCCAGCCATTTTCCTAAAGCACAGGTCTTAGCATGTCACCTTCCCACTCAATACTCCAGTGGCTCCATATTGCCTCCAGGATCAAAAACAAAATCATATGGTATTCATTCAGACCTTTCTATGACCTAGCTCCTATCCCACCTTCACAGTTGTACACCTTACACACCCCTGCACTCTTCACTCCAGTGACGATGTCCTCCTTGCTGTTTCACAAACAAGACAATCGACCTCATGGAATGGTGCTTTCTCAGGATGTCCCCCCACCCCGAAATTGTCTCCCTCATCTCCATTTCTTAGCTTCCTTCAAGTCTCAGCTACAATCCCCCCTTCCACAAGAAGCCTTTCCCAATCTCTCTTGAATCCAATACCTTACTGTTAGTCACTTCCTCTCTATCCTATATGTTTGTATATATACCTACATACAGACATGTATATATATATATATATATATATATATATATATATATATATATATATATAGTTTGTATATATATATACACTGTATATATATATACAGTGGCTTGCATATTGCTGCCATTACATTATGTGAGTTCCTCCAGGGCAAGGACTGTCAATTAACTTTCTTCACAGCCCCATGTTTGGCACACAGTATGCACTTAATTAATGTTTATGGACCATTGATTAAGGAACATGAGAGGAAATTAACTGAAACCAATGCTGTGGGAAATCAAGCAAGAATCTGCTTCCTCTAGAGGGTTTTTACTCATTCAGATTCCCTGTGTTTTCAGTAGAGTGTACTCTGGCTGAAATCTTCACATTCTTTACATTCATTTTGTATTTTTCTTTAAATTAATTATTTTTATTTTGAATTTAATAATCTTTACAAAATATTTCATTACAAAAACAAAAAAGGCGATTGTATAAGGACCATTAACTTCTGTTAACATAGCTTCTTTAAAGCACATATAAAATTTAACACGGTAGTAACAAAATTGCTTTAAAAATTTTTTTTGTGGGCAGAGGACTCTTTAAATGTTTTCACAATTCATTTTTTAAAAACTTCTTCCAGGGCAGCTAGGTGGCACAGTGGATAGAGCACCAGTCCTGGATTCAGGAGGACCTGAGTTCAAATCTGGCCTCATACACATAACACTTACTAGCTGTGTGACTCTGGGCAAGTCACTTAACCCCACTGCCTAGCAAAAACAAAAAACAAAAACACACAAAAAAAATTTTCTTTCATTACAAATTCATACCAACTTAAACAGAAGCCTTTCCTCATAACAGATATAGTTTAGCAAAATGAACATACTGTCTACTCTAAAGATGAATTTCTCACTGTATACCTATGTCTATCACACCTCTGACAAGGGATGGGTGGCATACTTCATCTCCAGCTTTCTGAAGCCATGACTGGTTATTGCTTTGAGAAATGCTATCTTTTACAGTTGTTTGATTTTAAATTATTGTGATCATTGTGTAAAATGGTTTCCTGGTTCCGTTCACTTCACTTTCCATTAGTTCATACAAGTCTTCCTAGCTTTCTCCAAATTTATTATGCTCAATATTCCATTTCATTCACGTACCACAACTTGGTAATTTCACAATTGGTAGATACCTGCTTCATTTACAATTCTTTGCTACAACATTTTTATACATAGAGGCTCTCTATATCTCTGACCTTTTGGGAATATATGCCTAGAAATGGTAAGACTAGATCAGAAGTTTAATAAATTTTTGACTCATTTCAAATTGCTTTCTAAAATAGTTGGACCAATTCATAGTTCTCCCAATAATGCATCAGTATTGTCTTACTTAGCCCATCAAACAATGTACATTTTCCATCTAAACCTAAACTATTCATTACATTCATAAAGTTTCCCATTCATAAGTCTTCTCTACAATAGGAATTTTTGATTCACAGTAAGATCTATAGGGCAGCCAGATGGCACACTGGCTTGGAATATGGAAGACTTATCTTCCTGAGTTAGAATTTGGCCTCAAGACACTTACTAGCTGTGTGGCCCTGGGCAAATCACTTAACCCTGTTTGCCTTAGTTCTTCATCTGTTAAAAAAAAAAAGAGCTAGAGAAGGAAACGGCAAATCATTCCAGTATCTTTACCAAGAAAACCTCAAATGGGATCACCCAGAGTTAAGACATGACTGAAATGACTGAACAAGATCTGTGCTTTGAAGGGTTTTCTATATTGATTAAAAGAAAGTGTTTTCTCTCTCCTGTATAGATGGGTGAAGAGTAAGGCATTTGGAGGAAAAATCTTCCCTCAATAATTACTCATTAAGTTTCTCTCCAATGTGAACTCTTATATTGAGTAAAATATTCTCAGTTGAAAGGACTTCTCATATTCTGTTGTTCTCTAGTTACAATTATCTGATGTAAAATAAAGTATGTGCTCTGAGGGAAAAACTGCTGATGCTCATTACATTCATAAAATTTCTATCTAGTATGAAACATCTGAGGTTGAATAAACTATAAGCATAACCGTGAAGACTTTCCCACACTCATTACACATTGTCTTTCTAATGTGAATTATTTGGAGTGTAAATTCTGTGTTCTAGCAGAAAGCATTTTCACATTCAACGAATTCAGGTTTCTCTCCAGAATGAATTACCTGATGTACATTAAGGTTTCCTCTTTTATCAAAAACCTAAAGACATTCATTATATTTTTAAGGGTTTTTTTTCCCCCCAAGATAAATTCTCTGGTATACGCTAAATTTTAAGCTTAGGCAAAATGCCTTCCCATAATCATTACATGTGTAAGACAGCACCATTAGCAATTCTTAAAAGGCAAATGTGGCATTATGGAAAGAGCTTGTTTCAAACTGAGGAAGACTTGGTTGCAAATACCACCACTAATAAATAATTGTGTTAATCTGGGGACATCACTTGGTTTTCCCAAGTAACAATCTAAGATTATATGTTGTAGAGAAGGCACAAAGTCTTCGTAGACAGTGTTTCCTCATCTGGGAGGTTCCTGGGTCAATGAAGCAACATATCTAGTCCCTATCCCTATCCCCTGTGAGTTTTCTAATGTACATTACGGTTTTCTCTCCAGCAGACCTTTCCACATTTATTACATTTTAAAGAATTTCCCCTAACATAAGTACTATGAGGCACACTAATTGTCAGCTCAGATGGAATGCCTACTAACCTTCAATATATTTATAAAGTTTCTCTCCAGAATGAGTTGGCTGATGTCAGAGAGAAGCTCTGGGCTCTGAAACGCCTTCCCACATTTATACAGTATCTTTCAAGTATGAGTTAATCTGATGCTTGAATAAGATTTGAGCTCTGGTCAAATTCCTTTCCCTGTTCATTAGGTTTCCCTCTAGTATGAATTGTCTGGTGTGCAATAAGATGTGGCTTCTGGCGGAAGAACTTCCCACATTCATTACATTTATAAGGCTTTTCTCCAAGATGAATTCTCCGATGGAGAATAAGTTGTGAACTCATTCTGAATGCCTTTCCACATTCCTTACAATCATAAGGCTTCTCTCCAGTATGACTTCTCTGATGTGCAGTGAGATGTGCAGTCTGGCGGAAGAATTTCCCACATTCATTACACTTATAAGGTTTCTCTCCAGTGTGAATTCTCTGGTGGAGAGTAAGTTCTGCATTTCGGCAGAAAGTCTTCCCACATTCATGACATTCATATCGTGTTTCTCTATTGTGAATCTTCAGATGTAGAATAAGACTTCTGCTCCGGACAAAGACTTTCCCACACTCACTGCATTCATAAGACTTCTCTCCTCCAGAATGAATTCTCTGATGTTGAGTAAGGTCTGAGCTCTGGCGGAAGGCCCTTTCACATTTGTTACATTTATGTGGTTTTTCTCCAGTATGAATTCTCTGATGTGAATTAAGATGTGCATTTTGTCGGAAGAATTTCCCACATTCATTACACTTATATGGTTTTTCTCCAAGATGAATTCTCTGATGCATACTAAGTCGTGAGCTCAACTGGAATGCCTTTCCACATTCCTTACATTCATAAGCCTTCTTTCCAATATGACTCCTCTTATGTGCAGCAAGATGTGTACTTCTGTGAAAGAACTTCCCACATTCATTACATTTATAAGGTTTCTCTCCAGTGTGGGTTCTCTGGTGGAGAGTAACTTCTGTGCTTTGAAAGAAAGATTTCCCATATTCATATGGTGTCCCTCCAGTATGAATCTTCTGATGAAGAGTAAGACTTCTACTCTGGACAAAGGCCTTCCCACATCCACTACATGCATAAGGTTTCTCTCCAGTATGAATTCTCTGATGTTGAATAAGGTTTACGCTCTGGCAGAAAGCCTTTTCACATTTGTTACATTTATATGGTTTCTCTCCAGTATGAATTCTCTGGTGTATCTTAAGGTTTTTTTTCCGATTAAAGACCTTCCCACATTCATTACATTTAAAGGGTTTTTCTCCTAGATGAATTCTCTGATGTATAATAAGTTGTGAGCTCAGTTGGAAAGCTTTCCCACATTCATTACATTTGTGAGGCTTATATCCAGTGTGAATTGACTGATGTTCAGTAAGCTTTGCTCTCTGGAGGAAGACTTTCCCACATTGATCACACTCATATGGCTTTTCTCCACTATGAATTCTCTGATGTTGAGTAAGGTGTGAACTCTGGTGGAAAGCCTTCCCACATTCCTTACATTCATAAGGCTTCTCTCCAGTATGACTTCTCTGATGTACAATAAGATGTGAATTCTGGCGGAAAAATTTCCCACATCCATTACATTTATGTGGTTTTTCTCCAGTGTGAATTCTCTGATGGAGAGTAAGTTCTATGCTTCTGCAGAAAGCCTTCCCACATTCATTACACTGAAAAGGCCTCTCTCCAGTGTGACTTTTTTGATGTACTACAAGATGTGCACTCTGGTGGAACAACTTTCCACATTCATTACATTTATATGGTTTCTCTCCAATGTGAATTCTCTGATAGAGAATAAGTTCTGTGCTTTGGCAGAAAGCCTTCCCACATTTGCTGCATCCATATGGTATATCTCCAGTGTGAATTTTCTGATGAAGAATAAGGTTCCTACTCCGAGTGAAGGCCTTCCCACATTCTTTACACTCATAAGGTTTCTCTCCAGTGTGACTCTTCTGATGCACACTAAGGTGTGCACTTTGGCGGAAGAATTTCCCACATTCTTTACATTCATATGGTTTCTCTCCAGTGTGAATTTTCTGATGGAGAATAAGATTTCTGCTTCTGCAGAAGAATTTCCCACATTCATTACACTTATAAGGTTTTTCTCCAGTATGAATTCTCTGGTGTTGAACAAGCTCTGAGCTCTGATGGAAGACCTTGCCACATTCACTGCATTCATGAGATTTCCCTCTAGAATGTATTCTATCAGTTTCAGTAAGATCTGAATTGTAACTTAAGAAGTAATTAAGTTCATTATGCTTAAAAACAATCTTATTTTTGGAGGAAGTTCTATTATCATATTGTTTTAAGTCTGAACATGCACTTAAGCTTTTTCTATAAACATCAAATTCATAGAGTCTTCTTCCTATGCTTACTCTCTGTGATGGAAAAAGTGCTAGCCCTGATATGAAGGATCTGTTATTTTTATCATATTCCCTGCCTTTCACTTCATCTGGAGATTTGTTTTGGATCATTTTCACTTGCTGGAAAAGTTTTTCTTTACTGCTCTGCTGTCTTTCTGAATTGGCATCAAATTCACAAGCTTCTTCCAAACTGAAGACATAGGCACTATCCCTTATAAATCTTTCCTGGGATGAGTCTTCCGAAGAGAAGCTCGGCTTTAAAGATGACTCCTTGATTTCAGGCCTAGTCATCCAATCTGAAAGAAATAAAACACGTAAGTATCCTCTCATCTCCTACTCTCATCTGTGTCCTCCACCAAGATTACTACACTTGAAATGAATGAGAAAAACAACCCACCAGTAACATAAGCTTACATTGGGAAAAGAGCTGTGAAGGAAACTATTACCAAGCTTCAGAAGATTTCTATGTGAGGATGTGTTAGTACGTGTGAATATAAATTATTATTAACATTATTTTGGGGTAGGGAAACAAGATACTTTACTTTGCAAATGAAGAAGTTGAGGGTCAGAGTAATTTAATGACGTGCCTCAGTCACATCAGTAAATGCTTCAGGGTAAGTCCTTTGACTCCAACTCCAATTCTCCTGTGTCTCTACCTGGTGCCTGGAGCATTCTAACTGTGCTAATTTCTAACGGGCAGAACAGGAAAAGGCAATTGGAAGCTAGATAGAATCCACTCTGAGCTCCATATAAATAACAAATCTATCAGTATTTATGGCTGTCTACCATCAGATGGAATGCCAGGGTCAATGGAGACCTGAATGTTCACCCAATGTCCAACTGGTACTTGACATAAGAATGAAGAAATAAATCTCACATTCTAATGAAGGAGACAACATGCAGGTAAGCAGAAATATATGGCTGGGAAGCCAAGAGGTAGAGGTCAAGAAGGGAGAGCTTTCTGGGCATATGGAGCAGTCAGAAAAACTGCTCAGTCCAGAGATGAAGTTTCCTGCGTGAGAAACAGCAATCAGGCCAGGAACTGCGTCATGGCGTTTGGAAGATGTAAGAACACGATGATGGAAGGATGGCATTAAAGACCGAAGAGCTCGAAGGATGTAAGAACATGATGATGGAAGGATGGCATTAAAGACCGAAGAGCTTGGAGGATGTAAGAACACGATGATGGAAGGATGGCATTAAAGACCGAAGAGCTTGGAGGATGTAAGAACACGATGATGGAAGGATGGCATTAAAGACTGAAGAGCTCGGAATGCCAAATGCAGGACTTCTATTTCAGCTAGGCGGTATTAGGGAGCTGAGGAAGCCCGAGAGCCTCCAGCACATGCTCTACAACGTGCTGCAGAAATGAAGGGTTAGAACTGTAACAGTGTCTTGGCCTCCCTTATATTGATGACCAGATCGAAAGAGAAGGGATTATTTATTCTTCAGGAAGTCAGAACCCATGACTAGTTGAAAAACAGAATGTCTTATTAACCTGACATTTTTTTCAAGGAAATGACCACACATTATTATTGTTCCGTTGGATGATTCAAAACCATCACTGAAAACTGGCCATTTAATTGTTTTTGAAATGTATCTTGTTTGATAATTATAAAATATGAGCTACAAACTGCTTCATCAAGCTGACTGCATATACAAGAATCAAGCAGTTTCAGACAGACTCTATTTAAACACAGACTGAAGGTGACTATCTTCCTTGAAAAGGAACAGGTCCTTTTATTTAAAGTTAACATACAGGAAAATGACAAATCTGGAAAAATCTGTAGAAAAAGAGTCACACGAGTCCATTGTGGTACAGCTGAGAACTAGCAGCCATGGGGAAATAATTTGGAACTACACCCTAAATGTTACTAAACTGTGCATATCCTGTGAACCAGTGATAGGCCCATGCATGCGAAAAGATCAAAGAGAAGTGAAAAGGACCCACATGTACAAATATTTATAATAGCTTTTTTTTTTGGTAGCAAAGAATTGAAACTTGTGTGGGTAGCCACCCACTGGAAATGGCTGAAAAAAAAAATGATGGAAGATGAGTGTGAAAGAATACTACTGTTATCTAAAAAAAGAAGAAAGACAAAGTGTCAAAGAAGCCTGGGAAGATTTGTATGGACTAATGAGGTCTGAAGCAAGCAGAAGTAGGGTATCACTTTATACCAGGATATCAACACTGACATCAAACTACTTTGAAAGATCCAAGAACTCTGATCAGACATGATTCCAAACTGAGACCCACCCAGAGGTGATGGACTACTGCTCAGAATGAGGCACACACTTTCAGACAAAGCCAACTGGAGAATGGGCTTTGTATATTTGTTTCCTTTTTTTTCCCCCTCCCAATGGGAAGAAAAAGAAATCCTTAATAACTAAGAAGAAAAATAATAAAAAATAAAGTTAACATTCACATTAAGAGAGGGACCAAATGAATAATAAACTGTCCATGGAATTGAGACAAGGAAAGTACTGCAGAGATTATGGGAACCCCAAGAGAAGGTGAGCAAAAAGATCGGTCCACTTGAAGGGCCTCTCTCTGAGCCCAGCAGGACACACAGGACAAAATTATCGATATTCGAGCATTCTCAGAATCAGATGAAGGTCTATGAAGGAGCTCATCTCATTCACCACTATATCCTGGGGGTCTGGCACAGGCAGCCCCCTCCCACATATTTAAAGTATTTCCCCATGGGAGGCAGCGGGGCATGATGGAGAGGGCACAGGACAGTCAAGAGGTCCTGATTCAAAGCCCACCTCACCCACTTTCTAGCTGCTAACCTGCTAATGTCCCTGAATGCCTAAGCCTCAGTTTCCCCATCTGTGAAATGGAGATAATAACCCCTGTAGCACTGACCTCCCAGGGTGGATGGGAGACTCCATGAGGTCAGCTGTAGGCATAAGAAGAGCCGGCCGCGCAGCAGCTGCTGGGGGTGCTCACTCACCTAGATCACAGCTCCTTGGGACAGCTCCCCGTGGCAGCCAAGGCGCTTCCCCTCGCTCCAACTGCTCGATCACATGAGGTCTGGAAACTGCGAGTCCTGCTCAGGGGAAATGGAAAGGGCTGCGGCCAGAGAAGACCTCAGCCGCCCATCCCCAGGCCCCCTCTCAGGACAGGTGGGCACTGACAGCTTCAACACTTCAGCAGAGCTAGTCTGTGCCAGGCCCTGGCAGGGGGCAGGCCCAGCACCTGGCAGGACCCCATCCAGGGGTCTGGGCTGGCCTTGGACTCAGAGAGACATCTCATTCTTGGGGCCTGGACCTGGGCCCCATTCAAAGCCTGGGAGTCATTCAAGGCTTCAGGTGGTTCAACTGCCCTGGAACTGGAGGAAGATTCTTGGGTCTGTGGGGCCTGAGCAGGGCACAGAGACCTGAGCCCAGGGTGCCCAGCTGTCTGAGGCCCTGAGGCCACCCAGGGAGGAAGGACCTGTGGGCTCCTCTGCCCACTCCTCCAGCCCCCCCATGGCACGGACTCAGGGTGGAAGCCCAGCCCTGTGGGGAGCAGAGGCCGCGTCCCAGGGGAGCCTCCTTACCCAGGCACACCAGGTTCCCATAGTTCTCCAGCATCACCTCACGGTACAGCTCCTTCTGAGCAGGGTCCAGGTGCCCCCACTCATCCTGAGAGAAGTCCACGGCCACGTCCCCGAACGTCACAGAGCCCTACAAGATCCAGGACACATGGCTGCTCAGGAAGGGAGCTGGACAGGTGGACGACCCTTCCCACTGATCCCCGCTCGGCTGTGAGGGACGGCAGAGTGGGCTGATTCCTGGATCTGGATTCCAGGCATGCCTCTGACCCACTGGGACCTTCCACTCTCTCAGGCCAAGGAGGACAAGTGCAGATGGCCAGAACATAGGGAGGGCACCTGCAGGGGCTCAGGACGCTTGGGGTTCCCAGGAGGTGCCTCCTGAGGGGTCCTGCCCCAAGGCAGAGGAGCAGCTGCCCCGGCCTGTGTCCTGCCTTGGGGCTCTCCCCTCCCCCCACCCAGGCAGGCCATCAAGCATTCCTTCTCCTCCCCCCTGCCCCTCATTACCAATGCCTGGGCAGGCATGTTACCTCTGAGCCTCAGTCTTCTCATCTTTAAAAAGGGGATAACAATAGCCCCAAGCCCAAGGGGCCCACAGACAGGGATGGTCTCTGGCATTTCCTGGAAGTATCTGCCAGGAAAGTCCTTCCCCAGAATCAATATTGGGAGCTCTTTGGAGGCATCCTCCATCAGGGGGCCTGCCTGACATAGGGTCAGGGTCCCCGCAGCCCCCTAAAGACCACACCCACCAAAAGAAGGACTCCCCATCTCCCAAGGCTCCCTTTGTGGGGCTCAGACTGTAGCCCAGTCCTGAACCCGGGGGGCCCCGCAAAGTAGGGATGTTGAGTGTGAGTCATATAGAGAGGGCATCGCCTCGGGGGCCGGGGGCACAGTGGACACAGCCCAAGCTGGAGGCCCAGCCCAGGCCTTCCTCCCCAGTGTCTCCAGGTCTTCTTCCTTCCAACCAAGTGACCTCTCGGGGCCCTTCCTGCTCTGGACACAGGCCACCATGGCTGTCCCCAGGAGCCTAGTGAGGGCCACGGGAGAGCCACGGAGCCACCCTGGAAGGCCCCCTTACCTGGTGGGCACTGGCTGCCGGGAACACGGGGGCCATCTCCTCCTCCTCCTCCAGGCCCCTTCTGCTTGGGGATGGGCAGGGCTGGTCACCAGGATGTCCAGCGGTGGATGGACCAGGGCTGGGACGACCCTCCTTCTCTGGCCAGTGTCCGGGCAGACTATGGGGTCCACGCTTGGCTGTAGGGGCGGGGAATGGGCGCACAGGGAAGGTCCGAGGCTGGACAAGGGTCTGGGGGGGCGGAGGGGCCTCGGGCTCCAAGGGGAGGAGGGGGTCACATTGGCCTGCAGGGGCTTCCCTGACGTTGCTACGCGTGCGGGCCTTAGGAACAGGGCAGGAGCATGCCCAGGGCTCATGCGTGGGGGGGCTCAGCCTGCACTGTGCATGCTTGGTTAAAGCTGAGGGAAGCTGCCCTCCCCCCCCCGCCCTGCCCCAGAGACTCGGGCCTGTCTCCTCTGCCCTCAGCAGCCCCAGCTCTTACCTAGGCAGAGGATGGGGGCAAAGACTCTAGGAGCTAGCGTGCCGCGCTGCCTTCTGGGAAATGTAGTTCGCAGGGGCCGTCTGCGCATGTGCCCTGTCTGGCTCGCGCCTCCCCACTCTCTCGGCCTTAGCCGAGGCTTGAGACAGCGCTGGGAACCAGAGCTGGGTGGAAGGGGGAAGCACAGAGGACCAGGCCGGAGGCGGGTGGCGCCCCCCCCCGGCAGGAGTTCCCTCCTCCTCCCAGTCCCCTCTGACCCCCAAGAGGGCCTCCCTCGAGGCCTTCTGGCCCTTCGGCCCCCTACTCACCTGGCTGAGCACCAGGGTGGCAGAAGGATGGGGCAAGTGGGAGCAGGAAGTTTTGGGGGAGGCCGGAAGTGAGGCTTCTGCCTGGCCCGCCTGAACCCCACCCCCGTGTGGCCTCCCCCGGGCTTGAGCAGAGAAGAGGGAAGAGGCCGGCAAGAGCATGGGGGGCCCCCCTACTCTTCCATGGACCTCAGTTACCCCATCTGTCACATGGGGAGTGACATGCTCCTGCTAGGCCTCTGGCAACCCCTTTGATCTTAAGCAAGCCCTCCCTCCCGGCCCTGCACAGCTGAAGTGATCCTCACCATCATCCCCACCATCATCATTACCACCACCACCATCATCATCATCACCATCATCACCATCACTCACCACCATCCTAATTCCCATCATTACCACCACCACCAATATCATCACCATCATGACCACCACCATCATCACCATTGTCATCACCGTCTCCATCATGACCACCACTCATCACCATCATTACCACCATCCCCAACCCCATCATCACCACCACTCACCACCATCATCATTGTCATCACCACTACCACGACCTCTGGCAGCAGGCCCAGTATGAGGCCAAACAGTTAAATAGGGGCAGCCCAGAGCATTTTCACTGTGCCATGAGTATACTTGAGGCCATCAGAGCCTCAACATCCTCTATGCCATATTGGGGATAGTCCTGGAGCAAGGTGGCTAAAACAAATGGGAGTGCGTGATAGAATCACTCAAACAGGTCAGCCCACCCCACTTGGAGTGATAAGTTGCCCTGGTACCTTAGGGAGGTAAGAAAAAATCTTCATCAACCAATTCATCAGAGAATTTAGATCAAATGTGGGAAAAGTCTTGGATGATCTAGAGCGATGGGGGGAAGTGTTCCAATTGGCTTAGGAAATATAGACACTGCCTAATCATTTATAAAATAGAAGACCAAATCAGAATCCCAAATATTCTAGAGTCTGGAGCAAGAGTAAGCCCAAGAGAGCATTCTAGCAAAACCCCTGGAAAGGAACCACTTGGGCCATGGTAGGAGAGCTCTAGAACTCTATCTCCCCCTCCACTCCCCCCTTGGCTGGAGAAGGACCTTGGGTGCTTTGAAGGGTCCGAGGGATTTTGGACTTTCTCTCTTCCCATCAGCACTTAATATCACCCCTCAAGATGGCAATAGCTGGCCACAGTTGACTATGTCAGGAACCAACAAGACAGAGGATGCAATGTGGGAAGGCAGATTCATGGCCCCATAAGGAGCACAGGGAAGAAGCTACACTCTGCCTAAGGGAGATTTCTTGAGCTCCCCACAAATGGGAGAAAAGGACTTTCACCAGCCAGGAGTTTCTGAGTTACCCCTTTGACACGTGCTCTGTAACCCTGAGACCTCCGGTATGAGAATGTCCCAGACTTTTAGGGGGTGAGGAGGGCTGTTTTCACTATACCACCTGAGTAAATTTGTTTTTGAGTGTTTCAGTCGTGTCCAATTCATGACCCTGTTTGGGGTTTTCTTGGCCAACACACTGCAGTGGTTTGCCATTTCCTTCTCTAGCTTATTTTGCAGATGACCAGCGTGCAGTCCATTGAGTTCAGCCAGCCTAGCCCCTTACAGAACACAGCTGGGTCCCATGTAAGTTACACAGAGTTAAAGTGACTTGTACCAGGTCTCACGGCTAGGAAGTGCCAAGAGGGGGCATTCAAACATAGCCCTTCCTGAGTCCAAGCCACGCGCTGTCTTTGCTGTCCCACACTAATGCTAGGCTACATGTGTTTATGCAAGAGAGGGTAATGGACCAAACTCCTGTGATACAAATGCTCCCTCGGATGTCTGACCGTGGCATTGTGGGTATTCTGAGCTGTCACAACACATCTCCAACACACAGCTTGTCTACTTCTCATTCCTCTCTTCCCAGAAGGTCGCCAAAGGGTGACAGGGGGTGTCATCTTGGCACGCGGAGAGTCCCAGTGGGCCATGCCTAGCATCCAACAGTCATCACCAAGACTCACCATGGGCCCAGCCCATTGCCCTCTCTGCTCATATGTTCACCTCTGATGTCTTCATTTGCTCGGCTTCTTCCTATTAACTTGCTTGTAATGTGTGGCAGCCGGCTCATGCCCACTGTGCACCTTCCCATGCCCTTCACAGTACATTAAAATATAACAATGGCATAAGACATTTGACCTAACTTAATATACTAGCTATGATGTAAGCATGCTTACCACAGTTTGTACATGACTCAGGTAAAGTTTTTATAAACTTCAGTCCTGAAAGAGCCAACCGGCCCAATCATCTCTATCAACGGGGAAGTGGTACTCAAAGAAGGGAAGGGATTTGTCCAGGGTCTTGCTCTGGGTCAGCAGCAGAGAAAGAACTTCATGGACTCTTCCTCTCCCTCACCCAGCTTCTCATGGAAATAATGCTACTAATGTTTAAGATCTGCAGGCAAGCTGAGGAGGCAGTGCTGATTTTTTTTAAAAAGCAGCTGGAGAACCAAGGGTAATGAAGAAGGTGGTCAGTTAGAAGCTCTGAGGGTCAGTCTTAGCTCTCATACTGACTAGCTGGGCAACCCCTTTGGGCCTCAGGTTCCTCATCTGTAGAATGGGGGTAATAACACTTCTGCTCCCTAAACAGGGAAAAAAGTGCTTCAAAAATCTGGAAAGTGCCATAGAAATGTGGGATTATCTGCAAGAGAGAAGATTTCTTCCCATGGTGGATTTCCTTCTCCATGGTGCATCCTTAAAGGGTGGGGGGTGGGGATTGTGTTAGATGACATTAAGCAACTGCCCCTAAAAGAAGGCACACTGGTGGCCCCAGCCTTAGCTCAGCCACAGCTGTTTGCTTGTCACCTGCACCAGGCATCTCCCGATGCCTTTACCCGCCCACTCACTGAGCCATTTCTGGGGAGGGATGTCATGCCGCTGCCCTGGGCAGTGACTCAGAGAGGAGAGAATGGTTCCACCGACTGACGATGAAAACAGCTTTTGGGCTCATTAGTGGCTGGACAATTCAGAGTGTAGTTTGGGTGGAACCGTGAGGTGCAAAGTCAGATTGTAAGGGGCTAAGGAGGGAAAGTGGAGGCACCTGTTACAGTTGGGCCTTTTTGAGTTTAGCTACAAAGGGCAGAAGAGATACAGGATGATAGCTGGAGGGGGGGGGGACGATCAAGTGGGGAGTTTTTTGAGGATTAGGAAGACATGGGCATGTTTGTAGACAATAGTAAATGAACCAGTAGAGGGAGAGATTTGAAATAAGAGAGAGTGGGGATGACAGAGGGAGCAATCTGCTGGAAGAAATGGGATGGAATGAGATCACTTGTGCAGGGGGAGCGGTAGGCCTTGGTAAGGAGTGAGGACATCTCTCCATGTGAGAAGAGGGTGAATGAAGAGACAGTGGCCAAAAGCACGTGGATGATATGAGGAAGCAAGGAAAATAGAGAACTCTGGGCCAGTGGCCCCATTTTCCCCATAAAATATGAGGCAAGATTCTCAGCTGAGAAGGTGTGGGAAGAAGGTCCAGAGTTCTTCATAACCTAGTCTCCTTCTACCTTTCTAATCTCCTTACACCAGGGGTGGGGAACCTGGGACCTCAAGGCCACATGTGGCCTTCCAGGTCAGTGGGTACTGCCCTTTGACTAAATCCAAGGGTTTGTTTTTGTTTTATTTTTAAGGATCACACAAGACCTGGAAGCTTCTATTTTAAATAAGAGATCTTGGAATATACAGTTACAAAAGGTGAAAGCTAAAGGTTTATAAAAAGAAATTTGAATACAATCCAGCAAGGGAAAAAAATGAGTTCAAATCGTGGCCTCAGACATTGACACTTACTAGCTGTGTGGCCCTGGGCAAGTCACTTCACCTCATTGCTAGCAAACAAAAAAAAAGCAAAACAAACAAATGAACAAAAAAAAAAGCTATAAACAATTAAAGTTCAGTTGCATACATAATCCTCTTGCAATATTCACTTTTTCTTGATGATGCTTAAGTTCACAGCAAAGAAAATGTAATTAAAGAAATGTTTACAAATTTAAAAGAAAAAAGGATGGTATTGACATCATCATTTTGGAGCACAGAGAATTTTTAATCCATTCAGGAGATAGATGGAACTATAGGAAACAGAACAGAAGGATCTGAGTTTTCTCTTTAAAAAACCTGTCCAACAAAGGTAAAGGAAAGAAGCTGATTGGGAAATAATTTCTCCTGGAAATATTTCTGCTAAAAATCAGACATGCATAGTCTACAGGTAAGCAGCAGCAAGGTCAAATTCCCTAAATGTGAACTGGTCCCTAAATGTGAATGGGCAGCTTTCGAAAGAAGAAGCACAAATTGTCGATAAATCACTGGAAAGCTATTCCAAAATTCTAGCAGCGACTGAGGTCCAAATGAAAACAGCCATTCAAGTATCAGTCAGTTAAAAATGAACAAAAGAATTGCTGGTCAGACAAGCTGGGATTGGGGCCGCTTCTTTGGAAAGCAACATGGCAGTGTCCAACATGAGCTAAGAAACGTTTTTCCCTTTGGATCAATAATCGCACTTCCAGGACTGCTGCTGAAAGGAGAAGAGCTCTTCTCCTGATTCCCACCCCCTTGATCCTGCCACCCCAAAGGCCCCACCAAATGCCATCCACCACTTGACCTGTACCCTCTGGAACGCCTGTTCCATAGGCTGTAACAAACTCGCCTTCATCCTAACTCCTTTCCTCTCTCACTCCTTCCACCTTCTAGCAATCACTGAAAGCTGGCTTCCCCTGATTCCCCTCCTTCATTTTGTCTCCTTGGCCAGGGTGGGCCTGGTTCATAGATGATAGGAGCAGAGGTGCTCCCAGGTCTTCATGTATGTCTTTCTATTAAGTCTTGACTTGAAAGTGAGCTACTGGAGCTTATCCATTTTTTTTCGAGCTTCCAATCTCTAATTCACTGGACTGGGAAGTTACAGTAATATAAGAAAAGCAACAAGAAATATTTTTAAA